CATGGGCTCAAATGTAAAATGTAAACATAAGTAGGCAAGGAGGGCAGAAGAGAAATGAGTATGGCTAAAAGTGAGAGAGTCTTGTGATGAAAATACATCCTGACTCTCAAAGTCAAAATCCTGGCCATGGTATTAAACAGTAGTTTTCCAAGAATGTTGGCATTAGAGGAATCTGAGTAAAGGATACATTCTAAAATGTCTCTGTATTAGTTTTGTTTTTCTTTTCTTTTTCCAGAGAGATTTTAGCTACAAGGCGTGTGTGCTTGCCAGAGAGACAGACACAGAGAGACATAAAGCAAGAAATCACTCCCCCGGCAGGTGGTGGTGGTAGTGGTGGGGGGTTATGCCACAATCTCTTCTCCTCCATTCTCTTCTCCTCTCACATGTGCCTGGCATGAGTTTTAAGCCACCAAGTCCGAGATTCAAACCTCAGTTGACTACATGGGAGTCCAATGACGTAACTGCTGTGCCATCTGCTGGTCTCTCTAGTTTTTTAAACTATATATAAATCCACAATGATCTAAAAAAAGAAAAAAGTTCAACTTAAAATAAAAATAAACACTGAGGTCAGCCCCATGGTCTAATGCTTAGGGGAGCCAAAACCCACATTATCAACCATGGTTGTATATGTGAACAGATCTCAGCCTTGACTGGCTAAGAAACACTGTTCAAAAATCACAACAGAATGGAGACCACAACCCACCGGGAGCATGCTTTGCTTCTCTCTGTCTGTCTCTCTGTTTCTCTATAATGAGCATGCATGCCCACTGATAATTAAAAAACCAAAACAGGAAATACTATTTTTGAAAATGTAATCTATATTCAAATTCAGAATAAGAAAGAAAACCTCATTGTAGGAAAAGAGAAAGGGAAACTGAGTTCCAAACAGTTGAATGTAAATTGAAGCTGCATAGCCCTCGAAAGATCCATGACCAGCTTTTCAGTTTGGAAATTAGGATTTACTTCCCCAGGAGGGAATGGAATACAGGTGAGGGTTCATGACAGACTCAGGAAGTGTGTTCACTTTACTAAAGCCCAAACTGAGAAATACTGTGAACAGAAATTAAAGAACGCCCTAACTGTAAATAAGAATTAAAAACATTTGCTTGCTGAGTCAGGTACGCAGTACACAGAGAGTGAGTGCTGAAAGCAACCCGTGGCAGAAGCAGGGCAGCCAGTGAAAATTCAGAACCTCAATCCTGCATCACAGATGAGGGTAAAGTCTAACATTTTGAACTATCCTCTCAATGCAGAAGTAGGAACTGAAGCACTAAGAACCAACCCTCCTCGAGACAATCTTATGGGGCTCAGGCAGTAGCAAACTCAAAACCATCCCCACTGGGATTCTCACTCCTGCAGAGGATAAATTCACAGTCTGAATGATTAAAGAACACAATCTCACCATCAAATAGCTTAGAATAGAATTAATCAATTAAATTATTCAAAAGAAACAAATCTCGTAATTTCCAAGTTAAGGAAGTATTGAGGGAGAAGGGGAGGTGAAAATTTGGGCAATGATGGAGAGCTACTGGGCCAGGATATGGACCGGCTAAGTGTGGGCACAGTCTCCATGAGGAAAGACATTAAACGAGCAAAAGAGGCTGTCCACAGACACAGTACCAAATAGATTTCTTTGGTATGCTGGGTCTTCCAGTCTATAAATATGGTATGTCCATGAGTGACTTTCATAGGGTCTTTAGTTTGAAACCATCTGGGTCTTTTCCAGAGGAGACTAAATGAGCAAGTCAGAAACAACTCTAAGAGAACACAGCTCCAGTATCTTAGTCAGATGACCATATCTGAATCAAAAAGTGAGGCCTGAGCTTCAAGAATGAGAGACAGGGAGCCAGCAGATGGCGTAGTTGTTACGTTGTTGGACTCCCAGGTCTCTCCCACCCTGGATCTGGTGACTTGAAAATCACAACGGCATTTGTGCCAGTGTGCCCAACATCCCAGGAGGAGAATGGAGAAGAGATTGTGGTGTGGCCATCCCTCCTGGGGAATGATTTCTCACTTTTCCTCTCACTGTCTCTGTCTCTCTCACATGGGTACATACATCCTATGTCAAAAACCTCTTGAAAAAAAAAAAAAGAAAGAAAAGAAAGATAGATGTCCTGGTGAACACAAAAGTATCTCTGTAGAGAAGGTTTCCCAAACGCTACCTCTGTTCATAGGAAAGGTAAGAGGCTTAGGGCCAGCAGGTCCCAAGCCTGCCATACTGTGAATCTCAGTGTAGGATAATCATTGAGTGAAATGAAAAGCAAATACACTGAAGGTCCAACTCCAGACACCTGATCAGAAGTCGCCATATATCCAACCACTCTCTCTCTAGTCCCACTCTACGTGGGCACTGGCATATTCTGGCACATGAGCAAGTGAACTCAGAGTCGGCCAAGTGGAGTGCTCACAGGAAGGAAAGAACTCATTTGGCTTTTGGTGCCTATTACGTAATCATTCATTAGCTGTCCAATTACATGTGAAAGGCTACAAAATAATCCCAGTGGAGTGTTTCTTCTGGCAAAATTATTCAGTGATTTGCATCGAAACGTATTCCATTCTCTTTGACTACGACTTTGTCCTCCTATACTCAGTACAAACCTGAAATCTGAATCTGAAAATGGCCCCATGGTGATATTCATTACTTGTTGGGGCCATTTGAAAATGAAAAGGCTGTAGTACTCTATTTCCAAGCTTAGTATAATGCTACAGAGTTGCAATTTCCCTTAGAAAACACAGGATCAAAATATGGAGCAATTTAGAGCAGCAGTTTTTGTCCCTGGCTGCTTGTTAGAATCACCTGGGGAGAACTGCTACTACAGAGTAATGTTGGCTAATACTACTAATTAACACCCACTCTCACTAATCCAGTGGTTGGCAACATCTACTGCACATTGGAATCTCCCAGGGAACTTTCAAAAAAAATGCTGACAGTGGGACTCCACCCTCAGATCAATTAAATTAGAACATCTGGATGGGTTTGGGGCATAAGTATGTCTTTAATGCTCTCCAGAAGATCCTAATTTTGAGCTAAGGTTAAGATGGCTGCTGTAGTCCAGTGGTTCTCAAACTTCAGTAAGTATCAGAACCCGCTGGAGGGTTTATGAAAACATCAGTTTATATTTAGGGCCAAATATATTGAGTCATTAGAAAAAGTCATGATGTATTTTTCTGTTTTTTCTATGCAAAAACTCATCATGACTTTCCCAACAACCCAACATTTGCTCTTCCTTTCACTCAGGGATTACCCCACACTCAGTAGCACGGAGATTAAGTGCAGTACACAGGGAGTTGGCTCCCAATATGGCCAATTCTGGTTCAAATCCAGCCCCCAGAAGTTTGGGAAACACACAAGGTACACATGCATGCATAATAAAAATCCTAATGACATGGAGAAATGAAAGAACGATGACTCTGGCATGATCACACCCCAATGGGGGATTTAGGATCTAGTTACGGGGAAATGATCAATACCTATGTAAATTCCAGACTTACAGAAAAAAGTAGAGCACAGCTTTCCACTTATTGTACAAAGCAATTCAGCCCCAGAGGTCCTGCAAAAAATTTAACGTTGTATAACATTTTACATGAATTTTCCCACTGCATTTCAGCAACACCAAATTATAAAGCTACCACACAGACAGCGTCCCAAATTAGGAACAGAAATTCTCAGCAAAGTGGCAGCAACAATGGGAGGACTTGGGATAAGTGCCTTCTATGGAAATGTCATACCACTGGCAGTGCCCGGACTGAGCCTCTCAGCTGTACCAAAACACCACCTTCCAGGATCTCTCATCTTCTAGTCACTTCCTGATCACAGACTTTTCTTGGTGATGCCCACCTCCTATGCAAGCATGAGAAAAACTTCGACCTGATCTTTAGGTATTGTTTGCCTCACAATTGGTGGTGAGACCACCAGCGCTGCTCTGCTGGAAGTAAGGGGAGGAAGTGTGACCAAACTTTTAAATACAGAAATTTAAACTTCGAAAAATAAGCTTGGTCACATTTTGAGATGTAGCATAGAGGAGTAGACAACTTGGACTCCTATTAACTCACCAATAAAGTTATTCTACATGTCCAAGTTTCCTTATCTGTGAAAAGATAAAAGGAGAGGACACAAAGTATGCATCATAAACCTCATATTTCAGTGCCCAGTGTTAGAAAAATTAAAAACAACAATAGCATCTAACTTTCACTGAGTGTCTATTATTTACTAAACACTGTCCTAAGGTCTTCAACTATGTATTAATTCATTTAATCTTTACAATATTCTGTTCCAGGGATCAGCAAACTTTTTCTATAAAGGCCAGTCAGCAAATATTGTCATCTTCCAGGGCCACTCCTACCCCAACTACTCAGCTCTGCTGAGTTCAAAGGAGCCATAGACAATATGTAAACAAATGGATGGATCTGTGTTTCAATAAAACTTTATTCATAAAACAAGAAGTGGGCCAGATTTGGCCTACGGACCATGGTTTGCCAAACCTTGCTCCATAACACGGGTACTATTACTATCTCCACTTCACAGACAAGAAAACATAGGCACAAACAGATCAACTGACAGCACAATGTCCCACATGAAATCTAATTATGAAGTACATAGGTCAATTATTATATCACAGCAGTTGCTGATATCATCATCATTAGTAGTAAGGCCCTCATTTGGTCCAAAACTGAGGTTTCCTCATTTAAAAGGAGCTAGTCAACCAAGTCAACAATACCTTCTTCAGAGATTGATGATCCAACCTTCTTTCCCAGTTTCCTAGCTGGAGCTCTTTCTGCCTCCTCTGAACCCTCAGTGCCCTTACTCTCTGTACCTCTCAAATGTCCCACCTTTTGTTTATTATGTGCCTCCTCCCCAATCTCTCTGGACAACAGGATGACCATGTCACAGGGGCTCAATGCCCACACATGAGTGTTTCTATACAGCCTATGTGAGGGACCCACAGCCAGGTCCCAGGTGCCCAGAACAGAGGAGCGAGACAAGGGACCCAGACACTCACCAGTCCATGGCAGGCACTGAGGGCTGCCATCCCAATTCTGGTGCCCTGCTGCACAACTGTGCCACTGAGATGGCAGCGGGGGGCAGAGGAAGCCATCATCTTGACATGGGAGAGGTTCCCATACCTCTTCTCCACAACGTAGTTATTGGAAAGAAACCTCCGATTGACTGTCAAGTTAAAAAACAGGTCCTTCTCTTCATGCGAAATTCTGTAGTATACTCGATCCTCTGAGCCATCCAAATCTCTTTTCCTCCTACCGCTGGTGAGGGGATGATACAAGCCATATGATAGAAAATGCCCACTGGCATCTACTCGGACAGGACTCACCACGTGGTATTCTGGCAGGGCCTTGATAAAATGCTCTGAAAGAAAAGGAGTCACAGAAGATAACTGAGAGATCCGTACTAAGTCTGGATATAGCAATGCAAACCCATTTCCACTTGGAACTTGGATTCTAGTTTGTTGATTACACAAGCCCACTGTTTCACCTGAAGTGGAGAGACCTTTTCCACCATACAGACAGCATCAGCACCTAACTCCCTGAACAGCTCAAATTTACATGGTGCTCCCTCCTCAGTGACATAAGCAATCTAAATTGACACTAAAGAACAACCCTGGATATGAGATGTTTGACCAGAGACAAATGAAATGGTAAGTCATGAGGAACAGGAACATCTCAAGTCTAGAATTCATTAATACAAATTACAGAGCTTCACTGTACACTATATCATGTTTAGAAGCCTTAGACACTTCCCCTTAAATCAGGCTAGAGGTAAAAAAACAAAAACATGGCAAGGCCATCATATGCCCTCTGAAGAACCTCACATCAGCTACAGCAGAAGAGTGTCCTATAATGGCAAAGACTACTTACAGGAATTTGTGGGTCTTTCTAAAATATCTTTAAAAAGAAAAAAGAAGTATATATATTGACTATCATATAAAATGTAAAATTAATCTGAACATTTTAAAAATTATAATTTTCATTAAAAGAACTTGTATTGAGGTCCAATAAAAATAAAAAGAAATGGCACTTAAAAAAAATGCCACATAGGAACACAAGAACACATGCACCTTTCACTTAACACAAATTTAAAGCCCCATCACTATATCCTGATGTTTGAGAATTACAAAGAACTAACAGAGAACTAGTCTTCACTGTGGATTACAGGCTGATTAAAGCAAACCATTAACCACTTAGTAAAATAAACTAATCTTTTGCTTGCAGAAGAAAGGTTAGAGTTGAAAGGAGGGGAGGGGACAGTGGGAGACAAGAAAAAAGTTCGGTTGCTAGCACCCAACTGTTCCCCTTGCACTTTCTAATGTGCATTAGTTTGCTGGTGTTACTTCCCCAAATAGAAGGTCTTTTGCACTCTGTCAAAATCCTATTTGGGCTGACTCGGCAGCTGTTCCAAGAGATGCTGGATCCATATGGAACATCGTGGGTTCAGTCCCCAGTGAAATGGACATGCTTTGCATGCTCATGATCCTGGTTGACTGGTGTAGCGGGGTAGAGGGGGGGAGGGACTGCAGCATGAGACCCTATTGAGAGTGTTTCTGTCTCTCTCACTCTAAATCAACTTATTAAAGAAAATGAACAAACAAGCAAAACTTCAAGCCGGCTGCACGATCTAGACGTTAAGATAATTGGATCCCACATGGTGGGCAGTGTGGTTTGAGTCCCAGACTGATGGCTTCATAAACACACAGAGTGCATGTCTGTGTGTGCCCAAACTTCTGAAAAGAGGAAGAAATGGAGAAAGGATGTCTCCTGTTCTCTTTCTCTCTGACTCTCTTTCTCTCTGCCAAAATGCACATAGCTTCTTAGCAAAAAAGAAAAAAAGAAAAATCCTGTTTATGCTGCAAAGTCCAAATTCAAATCCTTCCTCTTCCTTCTAATATCCCAGGTTGAAGTATTATCTCCTTCCCCTGAACCCTCATGCCCTTATTTTCTGTACCTCCTAAAGTGGCTTTATTTTACATTGCCTTTCATTTATTACATAATACTACAGGGTCACTGGGAAAGTCATATGCATTTTTGCATAGAAAAACACATTATGACTTTCCAACGACTTCATATTTACACTCGAATCCTTCAGAGGCCATGTTATGCACATCACAGGTTCTCGGTTCATGTGTGTTGGTGTATCACAGCAAATACCTCTGTAGCTGGCTAAAGAGCTGGGCTTGATGGAGTACAATCACAAAAGAGATTTGGGTTTGGGGGACGGGGGTTGGGAGAATTTCTTTTTCCTAGACAACAACTTTCAAAATACTTTGTGGACTCATATTTTTTTTTGTCTTAGATGAAAGATAAGGAAGAGCGCAGAGAGTTTTCACTCTGTGCATTTGGGTACCCACAAGTAATCTCTATTTTTATGTGTAAAAAGTCCAGACCCATTGCTTCTAACTGCAGCAGTGAGGCACAACAGACCACATAGCAATGTGAACAAATCTTTAAAATGTCCAGTGAAAAAGAAGAAATAAAATAAGTTAACACAGACCCACTTACATTAATGGAAAATATACACACACAGAAACAATAATGCTAAGTTTGCCAGAATACTTGAAAAACAAAAAATGCACATGAAACCCATTAAAATGGTTTTCCATGGGAAGGAATGGGAACAAAAATGCATCAATACATAAAACAAAAAAAGAGTTCCTGCACAAATTAATGATGCTGGTGTTCCATGAACTGAGGCATGTAACTGACAGAGTCCTTTCAACCACCTCCCCTCATTCCCCAGAAAATGCCTGGCCTGTCTAGTATCAGCGCTTCCCTGCCCTTCCAAGTTCAGACTTGACTGAAGAGAGGAATGGCCAAGTTGGGTGGGGCAGATAAAGTCAGCTTCTGTCCTATTTCCCTAGTGCTGCTCTTCTCTTCTCTTCTCCTACTCATGATGATACCTGTGGCTCCCCCTGGGTTGGAGCAATGGAGGGAAATTAGGGACAGGAAAACTTCTATTCAACTAGGAAATACTGTCATCTGGCAATAGTATCCAGCATGCAGTCAATGCCCAGATGCTGACCCCTTTTCTCAAAAGAAGCTCTTTGGGTTTTGGGAGACTTCGTTGCAGTCCCTCAATATGGGAAATTCTCCTTCCCTCGATCTTTCCATCCTCCATTCCTCCTCATGTTTACTGGGGATCTTGCTTGGCAAGGTCCCTTCCAAGGTGATCTAAGTCTGATTTCTTTTCATGAGGTCCAAATCAGGCTCACAAGAAGAAGCCACAATCCCTTCACTCCTCCCCAAAGTGAGTGATATCAGCCACTCCTGGCAGGGACATGCTCTTGCTTGGCTCTGTCACCAGATGCTATGCCATCCAGTCTTTGTTTATCAGCATTTAAAGCATAAAATGCTAGTCACAAATGCTCCCCAAACCCACTGCAAATTCAGACCTGAAAGCCCCTTCCAGTGCCTTAAGTGAGGGCCACGGTAGAGAGGAATATCCCAGTACTTATCTCCTGGGGAAAGTCTCTCCAATATCTTTTCATTGACCTTTAAGCCACTTATCACAGACACTCTGGTAGAGTGAAGGTTTAGACTCGCATCATCACTGTGCAAATCACACACAGGGTCTGGAGTTTCCCTTAAGTATATATGGGAAATTGGCCTATGTTTGTTTCCCTCAGCCTTAAGGTCAGGGCAGAAGCTCAGACAAAAGGAAAAGTCCAATTTTAATACTCTATTATATATATACAAGTCTTTACATCTCCATCAAAACAGAGAAACAAGCATCTTAACTAACAGATTGTTTTTTAAAAAAATCAGACTAACCAAATTAAGGGAACATAAAATAAAAGCAACTATATTTTTCAAATGCATTTCAAGTAAAATGTTACAGTCTTCCAAGCTGAATAAGCTATGACCTATTGACCAAGACTGAAAAGAATGAAAAATATCTCATTTGTATATACTCAGAAAACAACAATAATAAATGCAGGCTGTCATGAAACGTTTTAAGTCATATCACATTTTAAAAATAGTTCTGAATAGACAATATAGGTAAATTGGTAATAAAATTAATAATCATAGGATGGGATTATGCATAAACATAGAAACAATAGGATATACAATTAAAGAAATAATAGTAATATTAAATAGTAATATTTAAATATATATATTTAAATGTGTCTCCAATATAATTGCAGCCATGAGCTATTCCTATACATACATCTCAAAGCCTTTGGGGTGATGTGTTAAAATGAAAATTGTTGGGAACAGCAGAGATAGTGTAATGGTTATGTCACTGAACATCCATGTAGTCGACTATGGTTCAAGTCCCAGACCTGGAGGCTTAAAACTCATGCTGGGCACATGTGTGTGTGCCCAAAATCCTGAGAAGCTAATGGAAGAGAAGAGACTGCAGCATGGGCATCACCCCTGGGGAAGAGTGATTTCTCACTTTCTGTCTCTGTTTCTCTGCTTACTGCACATGCCCTATATTAAAATTTTCTCTTAAAAAAATTGTTATGATGGTTACATATGGGATGTGGCTTTTTTTCATTTGAATTCTCTATGTTATTTTTCCCAATTAAAGATAAATAAGTGAAAATAATTGAATGTGCAAGGTGCTATATGGCTGAGTGGATTGGATTTACTTCCAAACTCTTTCTTTTTTTTTTTTTTTTGAGAGGGGTTTTTTTTCCCCTTAGGGAGCGGGGGCTCCGAGAGAGACATAGAGACAGAAAGCGAAAAGTCAACCCCTAGGGGGGATGGTCACGCCGCAATCCCTTCTCCTCCATTCTCCTCTCAGGATATTGGGCACGCATGCACACGCGCCCAGCATGAGTTTTAAGCCACCCGGTCCGGGACGCGAACTGCGGTCAACTACGTGGGAGTCCAGCGACATAGCCATTACGCTAACTGCTGGTTCCCCCGAACTCTTTCTTATGACTAAAATCCTGACTCTGCTCAGTTCTTAGAACAAGAGGGAAACCTGAAAGGTTATCTAGTGTCTGAATCTGTCTTCAACTATGGGAACCCTGTCTAACTCTCTTCAACCCTCTGTAAAGTGGCATTTAGTAGATGCTCAGTAAATAGATGTTCATTAACAGCCTGATCATCTAGATTTCTTTTCCTCATCTGTTAAAATAAGGATGAGTGATATAATATCTGAAGTAATTTCCAAGTTTGAATGCTCAGAATTTGTGTGTAATTAAACATACCATCACGGAACCAGCAGTTAGCGTAATGGCTATGTCGCTGGACTCCCACGTAGTCAACCGCAGTTCGCGTCCCAGACCTGGTGACTTAAAACTCACGCCAGACGCATGTGCATGCGTGTCTAAGATCCCGAGAGGAGAAGGGATTGTGGCATGACCATCCTCCCTGGGGGGTAATTTCTCGCTTTCTGTCTCTATGTATCTCTTTGTCTGTCTGGCAAGCGCACGCGCCCTATAGTGAAAACCTCTCTAAAAAAAATAAATAAATAAATAAAACAAACAAAAAATACCATCAGAGTGGAGATGGAAGGTCTTTAAAAGCAAAACCCAAGTGCTATGAAATCTCATGTGAACACATTGTGACACTCTTAAGAGGGTGGAAACTTAGTACAATGATGGTATTAAAGGATGTGGTATTGAGGAGGTGACTAAAATTAGAGTCATTAAGGTAGGGGCCTCATGACTGAATCCTGGTGGCATTTTAAGACAGACATGCTGTGGACTCAGAGACACACAGACATAAAGGCATAGACACAACTTGGACACAAGCAAGCTCTTGACCTATGATTCCCTGTACCACCACCTCAAGTCTGCAGAGAGTTCCTACAACAGGAAGCCCTGCACCAGACCTAGATTCTTGATCTTGGGCCTCCAAAATTGTGAGTTAAATAAACCTCTATTTGTTAAAATAATAATAATAATAATAATCACCCAGTGTGCTATTTAGCTGTCAGTTACAGAAAAACAGACTAAAGCACCAGGTCATCCTGGAAGCCTTACAATTTCTTTCACTCTAGTTTGCATTTGTCCTCATCCATTCTCTATCTCACCTTTAGCTCTAAATGGAAGTCCACTTAGAAATTTGTCCTTTGCACCAAAAGTAGATCAACTGTAAATCCATTCATGAATTTATTAAACCTGTTGAAAGGCTTTTTAAAACTGGAATTATTTTTAAACCTAAATATATATGTATCACTAAAAGCTCAGAGCATTTGGGAACTATTTTTCAGTATCAAATACTTCAGCACATAATGCTAAAGATGACTAAAGGAATAACCATTTCTCACTTTCTAGAGGAAAAAAAAAAAAAAAGCCAGGCCCAGTAGTGTTTGCGCCACACCAAGCTGAATTCTCTTACAAACATGACCTGGCGCAAGCAGAGCTGAAAAACAGCCCAGGAGAATGTGTATCTTTGAACCAAATCATCTTCCAATGCCCTGGGAAGTGTTTGCAGGCTTTATTTGTGCTGTCCCAGAAGAGACTTCTCACAAAGGGACTGTTTTTCAAAGAACCACAAGCCTTGCTATTTTAAACTTGGGGGTAGGAGATTGTATCTGGAAGTTTACACAAGGGAGTGCAGGCTGATTGACATTTAACCCCAGTGCTTGCAGCTCAGGCTTCCAAGTAAAGCAAAGGGAGGGATTTGTTCTGATAGCTCCTGAAGCCTCAGCAGATGAGTTCTAGCAGTATTTGAACTTTGCATCATGGGCAGGAATTCTTGCCTAGAAATCCTCAACAAGAACAAGCTGGTGATGTTTGTCACCTAAGTAGCCTTGGGAATTAAAGAGATGTCAGGGGCTATGGAAGACACTTCTCCAGACTGAAACACAGTCAGCAAATTCAGGACTTAATGGGTGTTAGCCTGGTGCTCTCTGCTCTGTGTGTGTGTGTGTGTGTGTGTGTGTGAGAGAGAGAGAGAGAGAGAGAGAGAGATAGTCCTATTATTTGCTACAGGACATGCTATGTGACTATAAGGGTCAGGCTGCCTGGGCTCAAAACCTAGCTTTACCTTTATTTGGCCACATAGACACTCCAGTGTCAACATCTTCATCTATAAAGCAGGGACAGTCATAATGGTCTCTGTACCTCATTAAACTGTGGTCTCTGGTCGAATAGGCAAACACATTCTGTGCCATGCAAGCCATTATTGCTACTATAACTGTTTTCTCCAGAAGCACAATGAACTTCCTACCAAAGAGGTAGGAATCTCTGACCCTCCAAAGTCCAACAAAAAGCAGAATCAACAGTACCACCCTGCTCAGGGTGTCAGGCTTAAAAACTAATGACACGGGGGGGTGGCTGGACTCCCATGTCGTTGACTGCATTTCCAGTCTTGGACCCAGCAGCTTGAAACTCACTCCAGGCACACGTACATGTGTATCCCAAATCCCAAGAGAATCGGAGAAGGGATTATGGTGTGGCCACCTCCCCTGGGGAGGATAGGGAGGGATTTCTTGATTTCTGTCTTTCTGTCAATCTCTGTCTCTCTGGCAAACACACACGCCCTATAGCAAAAATCTCTCTAAAAACACCCCACAAAAACTAATAACACAAACTATTGATATAATAATAAATTGCCTACCACAACATCTCCAATACTTTCTATAACATAAGGGTTTCACAAAATTCAGAAAGAGAGGCAGCCAGCTGGGATCAGCAAGGCAGAGCAGGGAAAGACAAACTCCTCTGAAGGTAAACTTGCCCCAAAAGGCTGTTATTTTAAAAACACAACCCTAAATCTTTTCAGGAAACCAAAACACAGCCAAGCACGCTCAGCAGGGGGGTGGAATCACATTTCCCTTCCTTAGCAAAAGTTTAAAACTAACTGGAAACACTCAATGACTGCCAGGGGCCGGTTTGAACTTTTTCAAAAGCTAATTTTCCATGTTCCTGAATCTGAAAAATGAGGGGTTGAAACTAAACAGCGTTCAAAGAGGAGACAAAAGAGAAAGGTTACCGGCTACCTCTTGGCTCTTTGAAAGACTGCAGTGTCATCCGTGTAAACAGAGCGGGATACTCACCTTTCAGTAAGAATTACAAAATCATCACCTTCAACACCGCATTCTGGGAAAGCCCAAGTCTCAGAGCTTGGGGCCCAGATCCCCTTACAACTCAGCCAAGGGACTTTGCAGAGTTCAGTTTTGCCGAGTGGGGGAAGGGAAAGGGAGAAACCAAGATTCCGCACGCCTTACCCACGCTGTTAGAAAGAAAACAGAAAAGTCACTGACCTTGCCTCCTGTCCGGGAAGTGAACTGGGCCTGGTTGAGGTTGTCTCCCGTGGCAAAGTGCCCCAAGGTGAAGGAGCTGAGCCACCAAGGAAAGGTTTGCAAGCCAGCTCCTCTGGGCACATGGCATGATTCAGTTGTTGGGGAGAGGAAAAGTCAGAAAGTTTTAGCCCTCAGCTCCAAAAATCAAGTCCTCGCCTGCGGTGAGCAAGATGATGCCGGGGCGCATGGTCCACGAGTAGGAAGGGGCGGCCGCAAAGCTGCCCGCGAGCTCCCTTGGCTTTTTGAAGCAGAAAGGGGCTAGGTACCCTTGCCCCTTTCCCCTCCCTCCTCCTGAAAGGGGAGTGATTCAGCTGACAGTGTCTGCTTTCGGCCGGCTCTGGAATGGGTCAGAGCGGGAGGGCGCAGCCCACCCCAGATCCCCACCCCTCTGCCTTCTGCACGCCCCGGGGCGGCCTCCAGCCAGCTCCGCGCATCTTCCTCGGTGACTCCCAGCCCCCGCGCTCAATCCGCCCCGCCCAGAGCCCTGGTCGGCGCGTCCAAATAGGGGAGACCCGGGAGAGTCAACCTGGGCGACAATTTAGGAAACAGAGCTGAGAAACCCCTGGCCAGCTCTTAATGAGACGGAATTCTGGCGCAAAACTTTGAGTCCAGAGATGGAGGAGAGGGACCATGCTCCTCCGCGTTCCCTAGCTCAACGCTGTCCCCTTCTCCTCCTGAGCTTTCCCTATCAGGGCTGTTCACTCACTCAGCCTAAGATGCTTTTGAAAAACTAAGGTCATCTTTTCTCTTCGCCAAGTCACACAAAGGGAAAGGGTCTGAGCTCATCTGTTGGTTTGGCTCTGGACAAGTGCCTTCATAGGACTAGGTGACTGGGGCAAGTACCTGTGGGCCCCTTAGGTCTGCAGGTCTTCGTGGTGCTTTTCTGCTTTTACACCCCCATCTTGCCTAGCTTGCCTCCATTCACCCAAAGGAAACAGGGAGAGTGGAGGAGTCAGCCAACCAAGGAGTTGTTAAAGAATTTATCCAGTTTACCTGAGCAGGTTGCCCATGGTGGGGGCATCCATTCAGAGCCTTGAGCTTTTACAACAGTATGAGATTGTACTTGCCAGACACCCTGAGAATGTGCTGGGATAATCCAGCCAAGATTTCTTTTACCTCTGGGTTGAAACAAGCCACCTTACTTCATTCAAGAGGAATTTTGCCTTGATATTGGTTTCTCCCTGGCTACCAGCCAACCAACCACATGTATTCAAGAAAGACAGACGTATGGGATACCAACTCCCCCAATCTTGCATGGAAACAGGGCAGCCAGGTCAACTCACTGTGGTTCAAATGCAAGGCAGACCTCACTGGCCTGGGTTGAGAAGTGTAATGGATTCAACATTAAGATTTTTTTCAGGGGGATGTGCTAGTTTCCTCTTCTTGTTGTAATAACGTATCATAAACTAAGTGGCTTAAAACAATATAAATTCATCAGCTCACAATTCTGCAGGTCAGATACTTTAAATGCGACTCACTGGGCTACAGTCAAGGAGTTAGCACAGCTGCCTTCCTTTCTGGAAACTCTAGGGAAGAACCGGTGTTTGTGCTTCTTCCAGGTTCTAAAGGCTGCCCGAATTTCCTAGCTCATGGCACTCTTCTCTCATCTTGGAAACCAACAATGGCCAGTTGAAGTTTTCTCACACAATATCATTCTGATTCTCATCTTCCTCCCATTTATAAGGACCCCTGTGATTACACTGGGTCCATCCCGGTCATCCAAAGTAATCTTCCTATGAGCTGACCAGCAACCTTAATTCCATCTTGCAACTAAATCTCTCTTTCTTTTAACGTAGCATGTGATATTACAACATCATAGACAAATCAAAGAACCACTCTGAGCTTTTATCTTTCTATTATATGAATATTAAGTATCAGGATCACTAACTGAGTCAAAAGAGATTCAGATATGAATGTTGACCCAACAGAAATAGCCTGATGATCGGATCAGATAGAAATGCATTTGCAAGAGAATCAAAGAACCATTATAGGCTACAATTTGTTATTCCTTTTCTGCTTTTCTGCCATCTTCTCTTCCCCTTCTACTGTAGTTTGAATGTGTTCCCCCAAGTGCATGTCTTAAAAACTTTCTCTTCAATGTAGCAGTGTTGAGAGGTGAGACTTTTGACAGGTGATTAGGTTATGAGAGCTTTGCTGTTATGAATAGATTAATGCTGTCATCAATAAAGTGGTTTAGTCACTGCAGGAGACAAGGAATGAGTTTGGCCCCCTTTCCTCTCTGGCATGTGCTCTCTCACCATGCATTGCTTTCTACCATTTTATGACACAGCAAAAGGCTCTCATCAAATGAGACCCAGTCTTGGTCTTGCTAGCCTTCAGCATTGTAAGAAAGAAATCTCTATTCCTGATAAATTATCCAGTCTCTGTTATTCCATTACACAACACAAAATGAACTAAGGTATCTTCCCTTCTCCTCTTTTTTTTTCCCCTACTTTTTTTTCTTCTCTCTTTAATAACAAGTAGCTTTTCATCCAGAGAGCAAGATCATTTCTGGCTCCTATGTCCTGAAAAAGGGATTTGTATCTCAGATGGGAACCCAGTGAACTCCAGGGAACTGTAGAGTCCTACCAATATCAGGAATCTTCCATTGAACCCTCTGACTTAGCAACTAATCCTCTTCAACTCTGATGGCATTTCCCTAGTCTCTTCTACCACTGTCCAGATTAGCATGAGGAACATCTACTATCCAGAAGTCATCCAAGACTAAAATATTAAAATTATACAATCCCAGTATGAAGATTCATATTCTGTCATCTCCTTTAAGCCCTTGTGCCCAATACTTTGGGTCTTCAGCCTAGGTAAGTACTTCCTTTGCTTGAGATCTCCATCTTTGGCTTTCTAAAAATGAATATGCATCACTCTGGCCTCATCTCCTTTTCTGCCCAGCCATATCCTATAACTAATGCCTTCAGTGTCTCATATTTTCCTCATTAGAATATAACTTTATTTGATCTCAACAGCTGATTTTCTCTGCATGGTTCCCAAGTATCATTTAAGGGGCTCACATAACTGCATATAATAGTTTAACTGCCACTTCATGTCTCCCATCTTCAGCAAGTTTTCTACATGGTTCAGCACAAATACACACTCTGCTATTATGCTAGCAGAGCTATCAAAAAGCACTCTGAAACTCAGTTTCCTCACAGCATAGAGAAGACTTAATCCTCCTTAGCTTATTTTTCTGTTTGATGGGAAATATACAAAAAAGAAAGCCAACCACCTTTCCCATCCACTATAGAGAGCAGAATTATGAATCACTGCAGTTTCCAAGCTATCCCTGAGCTGATACAAATATGTTGCCTTGGAGGAAAGACTGCAAAACTATGGACGATCCCAGAGATGAGTGATAGCTAAGAAAAGCAAATTTTTATTACACATTGAAAATATGTAATAATGTTGCTCCTACTTGGTGCCATGCTAATCACTATATCTGCATTGCTTTATTTAATCTTCATAAAAACTCCATTAGTACCTCCATTTTGTAGATGAAGAAACATATCCTGAATGGTTAAATAACTTGCCTAGGATCACATAGAAATGGAAAATGAAATGAAAAAGGAGGACTAAGTGGTGAAGTTCAGAGAAGAGGCAGCCAAGCCACTAAGTAGAATCAAATATAGGTCTGTCTTGCTGAAGGCCTGTGTAATGCCCTAATCTAAAAAGAGTAAAAAGGATAACAATATTTTGTTATCAGAGTGCCTTGGGTAGTGATTTAGTTCATTATGGGAAAGTATTTTCCCTGTAAAAATACAAAACATGACAAAAGGGCTAAGATACCTCACAAAGAGCTCCCTCTGTTCATACTTTCCTAATAAACCCTTAGACGCACAAGGGATGGCTGAAGTTCAAGAAAAATTAGCTCAATTCATCCTTTAGAGCTGTCATTAACACGGAAAAGACAAAAGACACTCACAGTGACCCAAAAAACCCTGACTTGGTCCCAGGAATCATAAATGAATATGCCACAAAAAGAGACTTCATATCTGTTAATGCAGCCTGAATACCACAACCACTACCTCATAATAAAAATTAATGTATCTCACCTTATAGTTTGTAAAGTGCTTTTCCCAAACGAGGTCAGAGAGTGGAAGTTAGAAAAGTCTTCTTTTGAGGTTTACTGAAGAAGTTAAGTTAGATCTTGACTCCACCTGGAAGTCAAAAAATGTTGTCTTCAAACCATATATTAAAGTATTTGTTGTCCCATTTTCTCTTTTCCTATAAATCTCTCTGCAACCCTTAGAAAAATTATGGGGTAGACATGTATAACCCTCAGGAGTGGCAATTCACTTTTATTTGTCCATCCAATTGCATTAGATATGTAAGTAGATCAATAGTCCAGTATGGTCCCTTTAAAATACAAAGCCAGATAGCTTAACAAAATGTGCAATAAATAGTTCCTAGGATCCTCAAGCTAAGCTTAACACTATCTACTCTGTATATCCCCAGTCCCCAGAGAATTTGTTTTCCTAGCTTAGCTTGAGGATCCTGGAAATATTGCAGATTTTGTTAAGTTATCTGGCTTTGTATTTTAAAGGGACCATACCAGATTATTCTTCTGATGCTATGATTATTCTTCCATGGCTAAAAAGGCTATGGATTCCTTTATTTATTTTTATTTTAAATTTTTATTTCACTTCATTTATTATTAATATTATTATTAGTTTCCAATTTGACCAGAGAAAGAGAGGGAAAGTGAGAAAGCAAATCGTCAGGTCTGGGACTCAAACCACAGTCAGCCGTGTGGGACTCCAGCGCCTTCAACCACCACACCACCTGCCGGCCCTTATGGATCCCTTTATTAATGAAACACACTATTGGCTGAAGAAAAATAACACACTTCAGAAAGAACGTGTAACTTGTAGACCAAAATGCTGCGGTAAACCAAGACCAGCATCGGTTTATATAACATCTGAAGCTGCATTAAAATGAAAGTTTGACGGACTCAAGGCTAGATCCTTCCACTAACACTTTTACCTTTCTTCTGCCATGCTTTACAAATGGCACCTGCCAGAATGGCTTCCTTGGCAGCTTTACAGCCTTCCTGTGGGTTGCACATTAACAGTCTGACTAACACTGTGGGATGCTTGTTTTACTGTTGCTAAATCTACACTAAGTCCCCTGAGAGGCCACCAAGATCAAAAGGTTGCATTGATTCAGTCACTACTTCTTGGAGCAAAGCAGTGGCTATGATCAGATGAAGGTGTTGTGTGCTTCATCTTTTGAAGTTGAAAGGGTTGATATGTCTATGGACAGCTTACTGAAGTCTTTGAAACCCTGTGTGAGAAAATTGGGTACACAGGACATATTGCTTGAACACATGGATATAAGGCAGAGAGAAGTCTGTGAAAGGCTCCTAGA